ACACATGTGGATCGCGCTGAAGCCTCCCAAAATGGGAAATATATCCTTTTATTACGAAAAAAATCTGGTGTGTCCACTCACACGACTTTCCTACCTATTTCAGAAACTTTTTTTTTTTTTGAGAATTTAGTCTGTATACGAAAATTGAAAGAACAATGATTACAACATTATAGGGAAGTTTCATCAAAATCGTTAGAGCCGTTTTTGCGCTACAGTCTATAGAAAAACGTGTTTTTTATTTATTGCGCGCAAGCTATTGCGCATGGAGGACCGAATTTCGGTCACAGGCATCATTAGTCAAAACCCTACAAAATAAAAAAAGAAGCAACAAAATCGGTTCAGTAGTTCCCGAGAAAATCTTGGCACAGACAGACAGACAGACCAATGGCTAAAAATGTGTTTTTCGGACTCAGGGGGCTGTGAAACGTATAGATCCGTCGAAAACCGCATGTCGGAAATTTGACCCGATTGCAATACTTTCCTTACCTAGTATATAGGTAAGAAAGTAAAAATTATCTCTAAAAAGTGTTATTGTTCGTTAATTACATTTAATAGGACTTTAAGAATCACTTAAACACCATTTTTTATATGCAGTTTCTTTCTTTATCTTCCAAAAAATAATTATCGTTTTATGTGTGTATATATATATATATATATATATATATATATATATATAAAGCTTTTCGGCTGAAACCCTCCCTCCCCCCAAAATACCTGGATCTGCTATTGTATATATATATATATATAAAACTAATATATAAAAATAAAAGTAGTACTTACTGAACGTAAGCTGTCGAATCAGTTTATACAGCAAGCTATCTTCTATGTTTTTCACAACCTAGTATCTGTCTTAACTAACTTCACTAACTCAACTACCGGCTTCTTATCAAAAATTTTTTGGAGTACTGATAAAGCATTCGTTTGTTATCAATGTACGTTACAGTAGTGTAATCATTGCGACACAGTTATCAACCGACAGAAAGCAGGTGTAATTTAGGATGTTCTTTGCTCGACTTCCTCTCGCAGGATAATTGTCCGATCAAGTATGGCCGAGATGATAAACAAGTTCTATTTTTATATCGTAGAAGAATGAGGCGGAAATTATATCTGTTGCGCATTGCTTCTGGATATTACAGAACGACTCATTCAAAACAAAGAGCTATCTTTTTTTTTATGATCGACTTATCAGTACAATAAAAATATTTCTGCGACGATTCCTTAAACTGGTCACTAAGCCCAAGTGATTATATCGACTTAGGCTAAATTTTTATTTAAATCAGTAATGACTCATTCGTTTAAATCAAATGGCTCACCTCATTTCTATTACCTTTCAAGGAGCACGAATACGTCCTAGTGAGGTGGTCATTTACCTTGGAATCAGGATTAGAAAAAATTCCTATTTGACACCTCACTTAATAGTCAACGGCACAGAACCATATATATATATATATATATATATATATATATATATATATATATATATATATATATATATATATATATATCGTAGAGAGAGAGAGAGAGAGAGAGAGAGAATAGAATAGAAAATAAACTTTATTCTGTGACGATGTTACCTTACAATAACAGTAATAAACAGATACAAAAGAAAAAATACATCTGGCCAAAAACTAACTTAAAAAAAGATTCAAAGAATACATACAACAACTTAAACAATAGTATGTAAATGACTAAAAAATAAAATAAAATCTTCTCAACTATACTTATAATTGTATTTAAAAAGAAAAAAAAAAGAAAAAGAAAAAGTACTTAAATAAAAAATATTGACTTTTTATGTTAAAACATAAACAGCTAAAACATACAAAATATTCACCTAGTAAATATATATTAATGACAGAAGATGAGCAACAGGATTACAATATTGCATTATCATGACATAAGAGATATAAAATAAGAATAAATAGATACACAAAATTCGGAATATATATATATATATGTATATATACATGAACATATCGCATTTAAGTAAATCGCATTCAGAGCACTTCGAAAAAAATGTACGTAAAAAAAAATTAAATAAAAAAAAGACCTTTTACATGATGCCGCAAAAAATGTTGTTGGTTAAATATAAGATGTACATAACTATTTTTCACGACCTAAATATTCTTATTATTATTTATATTCAGAGATAATAATATAGAAACATTTCCTAGAATTTTATGATGCATTCACATCTCATGTGTAGTTCTTATAAATTTTCGAGGATAAAGTGTATATAGACGATGAAGTGTATATATAAATACACTTATACTTATTAAATATATTTTTCTAACTTTATCATCGAAAATTAATAAAGAAATCACGTGAAAATGGAGATGTACGCATGAGATATGAATGCATCATAAAATCCTAGGAAATGTTTCTATATTATTATCCCTGAATATAAATGAAAATTTACATAATGGGAATATTATATATATATATACACACACAGAATATTTTTACATAACTAGTTAGACTCTGAAAATATCGTATTTTTATCTTAAGGCTGTGCAAACTAAGAAATCAAACATATTTTTCAGTTTTTTAATCATTATTCATTTTTGTTATGGAGGCTGATCTCCTTCCTTCCATTTTTAATTTATTCAAATTGTAATAAATCCAATTGTTTTATTCAGACATTTTCAAGTATATCCATATGCACATAAAAAAATCTGCAACTTCCAAACAAATATATTTTTACACATAATAACAACTACTGCCATCTTTTTTATTTATTTTTCTTGATCCTTCGCCTTCCCTCCTCAATGATTTTTTGTTATTTTTCTATTCTATTCTATATAGCCATATAAGGAAATATAATAAAATTTCGATCGAGGTTTTAATCCCATAGCTAACTGAGGACAACAAACTGACCTTGCTGTAAAACTGAAACAATAAGGCTGTTGGCTATAAAAGAAAGAAGCTGAGAGAACAAGGCACTGTCGTAGCCTTATAAAGCCCAGCTTCAAGGCGACATCATTCTTAAAGGCTATCTGTTACCTTCGTTCTGAGCCGGTAATGCACAGTCCACAGGTAGCATCTGTTAGATAACTCAAGGCATGATGTGAATTGTAATGCGGCATTATAATCCTCAGCTTGAATAATAATTCCGAAGTGATACCGTTCTTCTTGCGTAATGCTTTCAATGACTCCTTTGTCGCTTTATAATAAAAGAAGGATGAGGAATTAGATACATGCATACAAATATATAAATATAAGCTAGGATGCTTATATTATACACAGTCTCCTTCCTGGGCTGCTTTCCTGATTAGTATTGTACAAATGCAAGACCTATACCTTGTGCAAAAGTCTTGTAGTTACCTATTAGCTTATTACTATTTACTAAACATGTTAGCGTAAATATACCATTAATATACAGTTTTCAACTCATTAACATGTAATAAGCTTTATACGTCCAAAAGAGAGTACAAACATAGATTTGAAGCTAGGACACTTAAGAGGGTGATTTCTGAACCTCAAGTAATATCAAAGATCAGTAGTTGATTGGTTGATTTTTTAATGGAGCAAAACCTAGATATTTGTTTCAGAGATGTTTCCTGATCACTTTTCTTTAGGAGATATGTCTGAAATTTTTATTCATTAATCTGTAGTTTGCCATTCTAGCATATTCTAAGTCTGATATTGTGGGTGTTTTAGGGGAGTGTAAATTGGTTCATGTTTTCTATTGCAATTTAATTGCCTAAATCATATTATTTTAAAAAGAACATATGTTTTTATTTAGTGGAAGGAGTCGTCAAAGAATGTATAGGTAGATCGACATATTTTATCGACGTTGAAGGAAAAACGCTCAAAAGACATGCTGAGCAACTAATAGACAATAGACGGATGAACGCAAGACGATAACATTTTTATTTATTTTTTCAGAAGGGGAGATGCAACATATTCTAAATCTGATATTTTGGGTGTTTTAGGGGAATTTAAATTAGTTCATGTTGCAATTTAATTGCCTAAATCATATTGTTTTAAAAAGAACATATGTTTTTATTTAGTTATGATGTAAACAAGTTTTTGGATGATTTAATAAATGAATTAAAACATTTATTTTGAATTATATTTTAAAAAATATAATAGCCATTATCTTGTTTAAAACTATAAAGAATTTTTTTTTTTAATTATGTAAAGACACCTGTTGACCCAAATCTGTTATTGGTGCAAAATACGCTGTCAGAATTTCGTGAATAATAAACTAATTAATTGTATATAAAAATTAAATTTAAAAGACTAAATTTTCTGTCAATTAAACCCATTTGCAAAGATCCATCTTTAGAACTAAAGCTGTAGTTTATATTAATGTTGAAAATTTCTTTTAAAATATCTATTACAGGTAAATTTAAATGTTTGTAGGCTACCTTTTTTTTTTTTTAATTTAGTGATCAAATTATCTTACGATTTAACTCGAAAACATAAATGGGTCTTCAATAAGTTTTTAGTAACTCATTAAATAGAGAAAGTTCATTGATCTCCAGATTAAAAACACCCTATTTCCGAAAGTATAAATGTATTTATTTTTTAGACATTTGCATTACATTTCTTAACTACACATCACAGTATTAAACATACTAACTACAACATTCAGTTTAAAAACAGCAAAAAATATCTAAAACACATTTTTCTGAAGTACTTTGTATTTTTTTTTCAAATATTTATCACCTTACCTTATAAAAATATACATTGAAACCACATCGATTCGTAAGACACCACGCGAAAAAATATAAAATTTCCTATCAAATTAATTTAAAATTTTATAGTCACTTAAAAAATGAAAAAAACAACCATGAAAAATATTCGATAAGCAAGAGGCCAATAAATCCGTTCAAAACATGTTTTTATTCAGAAACGTTCTTCTTTCCTTTTTATTTTTTTATTGTTTCTTTTGGAGTAAATAAAACACATTTTTTCGAAGGTGTCCGTTTATGGAGCGTGTGATAGGTTAAAAAAAGCTCAGCAAAACGATAGCTTCATCCACAATCTATAAAATTATGAAAATTTCAATTAATTTTTATAAAATATTTATAATTGGAAACAGCAAATTTAACCAATTTATACCAAGTTTGTGTTTTTTTTTGCTCTTGGCATTACAGCCGATGCCGATCTGTTATGCCTCTCTTATCAGTGTTGTAGCGGGTTTCTCAATATATATATATATATATTTGACTTACAACAAAACATACGTGTTTTATTTTCGTTTTCGTAGTGTATTTCACGGACATAAAATGCAAACTTCACAGTCCATTCGTGACAATGTAGTATCTGAAATGAAATTGGATTCATGACCTTATATTGAACAGCTGTTAGGCTGCTATCAATAGTTGATTATCTTCTGCAGATATTTCTTCAGTTTTGTTTTAATAATCCCAATATTAATAAAATTAATCAATATTAATAAAAATAAAACAATTTAGTGCGGCGCGCACACAACTTTCATTTGCCAGTCAATTTGTGTGTCAACAATCGAATTTCTCATTCGATATGAGAAATGCTCATATTGGGCTAGTTAATATATAGTTATTTGAAAAAAAAATATGAATAATAGCACTTTTTGACGAAAAAGTTGCTATAACCTTCTAGGAATTCTCAAAATGTATATTTCAGTTGAACAGTCGAAATTTTTTACGATCGAAATACTTTTCCTTACTATATATTCGATATATAGGTAAGTGAAAGTAATAATAGTTTAAATTGAAGTTTGTAATGAACTGAGAACTGAAAGGTTCCTATTAAAGCATAGTAAGGACCCGATTTGATACACCCTTGGCAACAGACCTTTGTTATTCCAAGGGCACAGAAAAGTCTTTTAGTGTTTGTTCTTTTATTGTTATTCTAATATTACGCACAGCACGCTAAATATATTATTTATTTTATTAATAAACCAGAGAGCCAGTTGCGAATTCAGGATTTAATAATCCCAAAATATAGCTGTGTGTGTGTGTGTGTGTTCTTTTTATTTATTTATTTTTAGAGGAAGGAGATGGTTTCACTCTTCTAGCTGAACACACCTTCCTGAAGAAGACCTGAGAAGTCGGGTTGAAACGTCGGCTTTTAATACAATAGCTTTACCACTATTTAGCCTATTTATGACCGCCACCCCGGACCATCTCCTTCCTTTATAATGCAACGGTCAATTATTAAATATTCAATATTTATTTTTAGGTTATTTTATTCTTATTTATTTTTTATATATTATTTTTCTGTATAATTTATTTTATTTATTGTACATAGAGTGTGAATGTGATCTCAGAACACTGTTATAAATGTCCTTGAGACATATTGTAATATTTTTCAATAAATAAGTTTTAAAAAAAAATAATCCCAAGAATCCAGAGTAGTGTAGCCCAAAATAGGTCTTATCAAAGACTAAAACCACTTATTGTTAGAAGACTTAAGACCAGAACAGTTATAAAAATAAAAAGAAAAAATAAGCGTTTTTGTGAACAAAAATTAAGCCAAAATAGTTACTAAGAATTAGTACAATCAATATACTTTTGCATTTAATACTTAAATTAAATTAATAAGGTTTTAGTATCTCATTGATTAATTAATTTAATTAGAAAATGTCCCGTTTCTGAGCATTTCAAATTAAAATATATTGGATTGACAAATAAGTTCTTTCGGTTTTTCAGGGTGAAATAAAACTCTATGAGTTTATCTATAACACAATATAAAATTTATTTTAACCTATAATATATTGACGATTATTTAATATGACATTTTCTCACCCTTCCACTAACTGCATGATGCCATGTTCATAGAATGTCTGGAGTTATTGTTAAAAAACTGATACAAGTGGTTTTTGATGTACTCTTCCTCAATAATATTTAGCGAGTGACCAATGAGGTGTGGGGCTTAGCGTGGTGGAACACAACACCCTTCCGATCATTCATAACTCTTCAGGATGTTCTCCAAATTCGATGTTACTATATAAGTTGAAAAGCTGAATTATTGCTCTTCAAAGCCGTATGAATTGTTGTTTGATTTTATGCCTACTTAAGGAATAAATAAATAAACAAAAACTCCTTATAGGTTTTTATTTTTTATCTCCATTTGTACTTTTGTTTACGAAGGTTCTGTTGATGTCATTTTGTGTAGTTTATGTAGCCCTAAATTCCTGCTAAATTTTTTGTAGATAATTAATGTCATATTGAAGTCACTTTTTGTTATTTATAGAAAAAAAATCTTGTGAGGGACCCAAACATTAAGCCTGGAAACATAGGCGAGCTTGTACAAATGATTTTCTACCCTTGTGTGCGACACATTTAGGGCCATAGCAATCTCTCGCACTGATTGGGCAGGATTTTCATTGATATCGAATGCGTTCGGTTTAGGTATTATCTCCATAAACACTGCAATTTTTCTATGAGCTTCTGCAGCACGCTTACCTTTTTTTAAAATAATACAAATATTTCGCTAATGAATGATATTTTCTTCTATATTCGCAGTGCAATAGCAAACACAATACTAAGCCATTTTCAACAAGAGTTAACAGATATAGTTGTTGACATATTACAAACAGGATAACCTATCCACTTTAGGGATTAATTCATCATATAAGAAGTGTGTCATATTGACATAAAAATGTACAGAAAAATCGAAAGGACTTATTTGCCAACCCAATACAAAAAAAAAAAAAGTATTCATAATATACTAATACATTATATCGTCATTTGTTATTATTCGAAATTATTTGCACAGGCAAAATAGTCTTCTATTTATAATTTTTGCTTATTTTTTTTATTATTAATTTTTTTCTCGCTATAACACGTAAGATAAAAATATAGATGGATACTTAAAGTGTTATTCTACATAAATAAAAGTAAAAACCTTGATAAAAGAGCTCATAGGACAGGGATTTGATAACCTGTGTGTGGAAACCAGGTGTGGATGGTGGCCTTGGCATATAAACCACTGACCGAACTCTAAAACCTCTGGACGCAGAGCTGCAGTTCGCGCGCGACCATATCTTAACTAATGTCTTGCTAATTGCTATATTCTACGAACTAAAACTATATTGGAAAGGAAAATAGAGGAGAATAAGTCTATAATCCCTTCGACGCTTCGGATAGTATAAAAAGAAACTTTTTGTTTAATAAATATATTTTAAAAAAACTCACATTAAGAAATTACAAATATTCCAGGCCAAAACCTTCAGAACAATTACTCAAGCACCTTGGTATGTTAGTAACATAACTCTCCACAAAGACTAACACATGCAAACCGTCATAGAACATATTCAAACTTACTACAAAAGGTTTCACAAGAAGCTCTATGGTCACCCCAATAGACTCATCCAAGACATGGCCAATAAAAACATGCCCGATAACATCCGCAGAAGGCTGAAAAGGAGTTGGATGAGAGATCTCCTTAATTAGCCTCAAACATGACTGAAGATAAACCACTGGGTTTTTCTCTTCCTCATGCCTATCATGCCCTTTCTCCTAGTCTATTTGTACAGTTATCTCATTCACTGGTTGTCAGTGGACATTGACAGTTGTGAATTAAAAAATAAAGAGGAAAAAAATATATATATAAATACTGATTTTTTTAAAAGTTTGTCACGGTTGTTATTGAATAAGAAGGAATTGCTCGAAAACTGTTCAAGATATATTTACAAGAAACTGTGTTTTTTGGTAATTTTTTTATTTTTTTACTTTCCTACCTTACCTATAAGTAAGGAAAGTATTGCAATCGGGTCAAATTTCCGATATGCGATTTTTGACGGATCTACACATTTTTAGCCATTGGTCTGTCTGTCTGTGCCAAGATTATCTCGGGAACTAGTGAACCGAATTTGTTGTTTCTTTTTTTTATTTTGTAGGATTTTGACTACTGATGCCTGTGTCACAAATTGAATGCGCAATAGCTGCTTTTTTTTTTAATAGACTGTAGCGCAAAAACGGCTCTAACGATATTTATGAAACTTTTCTATAATGTTCTAATAATTATCCTTTAAATTTTCGTATATGGACTCGGGAAAATATAGCAAAAAAAAGTTATAAAGAAAAGATAAATTTTATAAGGGCCTAACTCGCTAAGTATATCACTGTTTTTTTTTTAGATAACAGTGGTTAAATTAATTAAAGCCAATGAAAAAAAGGACGTTTCGGAGGTCTAATACAGCAGCCATACCCACAGCATATCTCTGTAATTCCGATTCGTGAAATAATTCGGCATAATAGTAGGCTTTGGGTTATTAGACCTCCTCAAAGTTCTTTTTATCAATACTCTTGTTAAATTAAATTACTGTTTTCTCAAAGAACATTTTGTCTACTTTACGATGATGTACTTAGAATTTAAATATCTTGAACAGTTTTTGAATTCCTTCTTATTCAATAAAAACCGGGACCATCTTAAAAACGCTGCAAATTATTTCATAATGGTTTAATTCCAAACAATTATACATAGTAACATTACCTTATTAGTTACAAAGAAAAATAAATTAAAGGTGATTCCAATTATTTTACTAAACATTTTTGTTAAAAATCATTAGTAATATGTTAAAAAAATTTGTATTAATTCAGTGACACATTAAAAAAAACAAAAAAAAAAAAAAAAACAACGATATAACCTTTGCAGTAGGACATATAAAAACATCTAGAGACCACATCATTGCGTCTAATTGTCCGATTTTTTTTATTTAAATCAGTACATTCGTTTAGCCGCTACAGTCTATATCAACGCAGGCTTTTCGGTCGCCTTATTGAAAGGAAAAGGCGGATAGAAATGTCGATGAAGGAGGATCATCCTCGGGTAATTTTAAATTCAAATTTTAAAAAAATCGGTCCAGTATTTTCGGAGAAAATACGCGGACGGCGGATGGACAAAAAAATTTTGTATTCGTTTTTCGAATTCTACTTATCCTGAAACGTATAACTTCGAATTTTGAGAGTGGCTAAGTTTTTTAATTTTTGTTCGATTACAATGGTGCATTATTGAGAATAATGATTCAAAATCCATATTTAGCTAAAAACCTGAAATACGAGTGTTTCTGGGAGCTGTGGTGGGTAGTAGTTTCGGACCCAGTAATTTCGGAGAAAATGGGCGGACGGAGGACAGACAAACAAATTTTATATCTCAGATCAAATTTTGAGTTTTTTTTTTTAATTTTTGATAGATCACTATGATTCATTATTCAAAATAATAAACCAAATATACAAACTTGGAAAAATACAAAACTCGTGTTCAGTTCGGAATCAGCTCATGCACAAATGAACTAATTTGTTGGACAATTTGTCTAGAATAAATCACCCTCCCCCCCTCAGATTTGGCTTTTAAAAAACCTACACTTCATTGCCATCCGGGCTTTCTTTTCGAATTGGCGAACGAAAAACATCAGTCGCTATCGATCGGTTTCAAAACCTTAAAAAATCGACGGTTCAAGATGAGATAAATTGTGTTAAAAAGATTTTGAAACGGACTCCAAGACCTCATTTAATTGGAATTATATCAGAGACTCTGCGTGTTAAAGCACTGATATATACCGTATTCGAGACTATAATTAATTTGCTGCAATATTGCATGTTTTGGGTTTATTTTTGAGAAATGGTATTGAATAAGCTGTTGCTGTAGCGTGTCTAATAGGGTTGCGTTGTACCCAAGGCCGTTATGGCAACCTGATAGTTTTCGGTAACCAACGACTTCTCTGGCAGACGTATAAATCTGT